CAGGGTTGTCCCAGAGGTGCTGCTGTTCAAAAGGCAACTGGACTTCCATGGGTTTATTTTTTTTCCCATGAAAACGTTCCGCTTCTTGAGAAGCGTTTATTTAAAAATAAACCCAAGGAAGTCCAGTTGCCTTTTGAACAGCAGCACCTCTGGGACAACCCTGAGCTGGGTGAGTGAAAACCTCCATAAACAGCAAGCCATGTGACCAACACTCTTCTCCAATCTCTAGCCCTCTTAGGGAAAAAAAACTACTTCACTTTCTGAATTGGGTGAGAAGCGAAACGTTTTCAAGAGGAAAAAAAACCCCCAAAAGTCGAGTTGCCTTTTGAACAGCACCTTTGGGATAACAGGTTGCCGGCATCAAACCCAGCCACCCACCCCCCAAAAAAGCTGATGCAAAATTAAGTAGCAAGAAGCAAAGGAAAATTCTAAGCAGAGTCTAGAAATGCAGTCCCATTTGCACTTATCTTGATTTTCTAAGGATTTCGTTGTTCTGTATGGTGTCTGAAATAATCTTGTGCTCTCAGAGGAATTAATTAAATCTCTACTTGTACTGGTGAGTTCTGTTTGTTTAAAAAAGTATTCAGTGAATGGGAAAACTTAAAATCTTAAAATCTGTATAATGAAGGGGAAAATCATTGGGAAAAGCCAAGGACATTGTATATTATGCCAGCCAATTATTTATCTGTTGTTACTTTAATGACCACAGATAATAAGCAATTGTGACTCATCCAAAAATACTCAACGAGTCTTAAATTTTAAGTACTGTGGAGCGAGAAAAGATTGCATTCCTAATCATATTCTGTGTGTTTGTGAAAAGGCAGGATAAAATTGTAATATTACCTAAGTAATCTGGGTCTATTCAGACATTTTCTTTCCTCTTTATTAAATTATGTTTCTAGATTCATAGTTGTGAAAAATAGTGTGGCACACATTCATTCATGGTGACAGAATTTAAATTTTTGCATTTTTGCCTTTCAGAGTTAAAGAAAGCTAGTAAGCGCATGACCTGCCACAAACGGTATAAAATACAGAAAAAGGTAAATATGTATTTTGAATTAATTCCTGCTTAAACAAGTATGGCTTTTGCTGTATCCCAGTTGTCTGTCCTGGCTTACAATCAGAGAATAGTTGTTCACTACAGGGAAGAAAGGTTGTTTGAATCATTTTATGAGAAGTATAGAAGGAACATAAAGTTCATGCAATAACTTCAGTGGTATAATTCTTGCTTCAAGAATTTTTTATTTTATTTCCATTCTTATTGAATTCCTCCTGTCTTCAGTTTAATTACCCTTTTTGTCATCATCAGTTGATCAGTTATCTTCAGAAAGAAGTAGAAAAATGACATGCTTTTCTTAACAACCTATTTTTGTTATAAATAAAATTGCAGAATTGTTTTAAAACAGAAGTTTATTTTTTGGTGTTTATGACACTCACGGTAGTCAACTAATACTGAGTATCTCTGTTTCCCTCAAAAATTTAAAATATCCTGCAATGCCCCTGTGAATTTGCTGAGATACTTTGGTACAGAGTTTGAAACTGTACAGTTTTAAACTAACGTTTTTGGAATTCATGATTTGGAATAAGCTATTATATTTTAACTTTATTATATTAATATATTTAAATATATTATTATATTTATTATATTATTATTATATTTTCTTCTGCCAACCTAGCAGTTCCAAAGCATATAAAATTGCAAGTAGAAAAATAGGGACCACTTTGGTGGGAAGGTAACAGTGTTCTGTGCGCCTTCGGCGTTTAGTCATGCCGGCCACATGATCACGAAGACATCTTCGGACAGCACTGGCCCTTTGTAATAGAGATGAGCACCGCCCCCTAGAGCTGGAAATGACTAGCACATATGTGCGAGGGGAACCTTTACCTTTACCTATAGTTTTATGTCATACTTTTGATAAAAGACTAGAAAGGACTGTACAAGTAAAAACTTTCAAAGCTGCACAAATCAAAATAAAATTAGTATTTTGTTTAGCATCCCTAGCTGACTCGAAATAGCAAAGACAAGGTACACTTGCTCCTCTGCAACTGCTTGCCACATTTGTGTTCTGATAATTAATTGCCCACCATATTTATTAAAATATGTCCCTTACAAGCTAAGGATATGTGGCAGTGAAAGTGTTGAAATCTTTATATGAAAATGAAAGAGTGATGAAAAAATCCATAGTAGTAAAAGAAGACCACTGTTTTATAGGTACGAGAACACAATAAAAAACTTCGAAAAGAAGCCAAGAAACATAAACACCGGAAGCCAAAGAAAGATCCTGGAGTTCCCAATACTGCCCCATTTAAAGAAGAGATTCTTCGGGAAGCTGAACATAGGAAGCAACAGGTAAAACAGCTTAAACTGGTGTGTAGCCATATAAAATTGGACAATCAATCATTTTTTATTAAAAGCAGAACTGATATTTTCTGAGCACCTATCTGGAGTTTTAAAACCATTGTTCCGTGTTTGCTGGGATTACAGAAAAAAGTAATATGCAGTTTTGTATAGACATCTATATCTGCTAAAATTAAAGATATCTATGCCATGGGTCATGCAGTGAATAATGCATAAAGTCCTGTACAGTGAAATGCAGTAACCAAATAAACATTACAAGAATGGCCATATTTACTTTTAAAGCAAGGTCAGGAGGGTTGTAATTGTCATGGTGTATAAGAACATATTTATATTTTGTGCTAATAGCGTGAAGAATTGAAACAGAAGCAAAAACTTGCTCGTCAGAAGGAACTAGAAAAGAAACGCAACCAACAAGCAAATAAAAAGGATCCTGGTGATAAGGTATGAATTTTTAGGAAAGCACTACACTCAGATTATGCTGGTCAGTGGAGAGAAATACTTCATTGGCTTGAAAAATCACATTCATTTCTTTCAAAATAATTGTATCGTGAGCCTTTGCATTTGTATCTAGTCATGGGGTTGGGTGATTGAGACTATGGCTGTTCAAGAATGAAATACAAGGCCCGCCCCTCTTTCCCATGTTGTTTGGTATCTATTTGAAAATGCTATGGAAAATCATTATTCAATTTGGAGTACGGTACTATCAGTGCACTGATTCTATTCAAGTCTTGAACTTGTATCCGCTGGGTAGAGGGACTAGGTGAGGAAAACCAAGCTCAGATTAAATCTAGCAAAATGGAGATGCTGGTTGTGTAAACATCTTGACTGAGTGGAAATATTGTGTCCCATGGTTGTTCTAGTTATGGTTCCATTCCTCCTGAAGGAACACATCTGACATTTGAGAATCCCCCTTGATTTTTTGGTCAGGGGCTTTTGTTCAGCTTCAATGATGCACAAGTTACCACCTGTTCTGAACCAGGAAGCCTTAGTGACACTAACTCATACCTTAATGACCACATTATAGGATTCCCACCATACACTCTGTGGTGTTGCCTTTACAGACAATGTCCTATAACGGGTGCAGAACATAGACAGCTTATACTGAAGATCTATAATTGCAGAGTAGCCCCTCTTCTGCTCTTGCTGCTCTGATTGCCAATATATTTTGGAACCTAATGCAAAATACTAGTTATTGCAAATAAAACTTTATTCAATGTTTACTGGCAGGGATTTTCTCGCTATGATGTTCTTTAAATATCTAGGCTGAATGAGCAAAAGGTTCTACCCCATGGAAAGTAACGGGGAAAGAAATAGGCCAAAAGGCAGGTCAGCTATAATAGCCCCCTATGTAGTCAAACACACTGCTCCCCAGGGACGCTGGGTTCCTTCCTTTTGCTGTTTCAGAAGACATTGAAAACTATTGTATTTCAGCAGACTTTTGGCCCCTCATGAGGAATTGTGGATAACCACTTAGTTTTACATTTTAGGTTGTTTTTCAATGAGTTAAAAAGTATTTTAGTTGGACTGGCAGTATATTCTGTTTTGCACACTGCCAAATGTCTAGATTAGGAGGGTATATAAAGGCTGTAAATTAAAAAAAAACATTTTTTTTATCATTGCTCCTCACTATTATAAATGATACTGGTTTTGTAATTTGTAAATTTTCTTCCCATATTTTTCATTTCTTTATAGAAATCAACTACAAAGCAAAAAATGAAATCTAACCAGCAGGTCCAAAAAAATTCAAAGAAATCATTTTGTGGGGAGTTGAAAAAGGTGAGAAAGTTTTTCAGATAAAAGAAATGTGATATATTTCTTCTATTTTTAAAAGAGCTATTAGTTTGACATCTCACAGTTGCTTTGTTCTTTACATAAATCAGCTGCTCTTTTGAGAAAAGACATTTAATGAAGATATTCAGTATCAACGTTTGGTCTATGGAAATATTAATATGTAGAAGTTGTTGTTTTATATGTTTGTGAAATCATAAATTATATTTCTTACCTGACAATAATATTCTGAACTATTCATTATTGCATCCAGTATGATCGCTTGCCGTGATTGGCAAAATATTCTCTCTGCTTCATTTTTGTGTCCTCCTTCCTCCTATCCTAGAGCAGACGGAGGATTTAGGAAAGGAGAGCACAAGGGGAATTCCCCAATCTGAGCAGAATACCACCCCCACCCACCCCTGCTTTTCAGTATATTCAAAGACAAAAAAATTACAGTGATAAAAGTATTCTAAATATATTCCAAGCTATTTTTATTTTATTAAGTTTTGATCATGTACATATTTTATTTGTATTTATATCCTACTTTTTTTTATAAAGCTATTTGCAATTACCTTTAGCTGTATATTTAAATGTTCTCAACCATTTTTTAAGCATGGTTTCCATTAAAAATACTGTGAGTTTGACACGGTTCTGAAAACTAAATCCTCAGGGAATGTTGTATTCAATATGTTGGAGAAGCTTTTTTTAAGTCCATTTGAATTACTCTTAAATTAGCTTGATACCAAAATAGTACCGGGAATGTCGTTACTCAGAAGCTTTCAAATGTAAATTAGTCTTATGGTCTCAAATACCATATTGTTCTATATTACTCTTTAGGTAATTGAGGCTTCAGATGTCATACTTGAAATCTTGGATGCTAGAGATCCTCTAGGCTGTAGGTGTCCACAGGTTGAACAACTTATTGCTCAGTCTGAGGGAGGAAAAAAAATACTTTTGGTTTTAAATAAAATTGGTAAGTAAAATGAGTATTGCTTTTTTACATACACTTTTCAGCTCTATTCTTTAGGCCAGTTAAGTCCAATGATTTGAAGATCTCATGTGTGAAATTCAGAAATGGAGATAGGAGACTAGGCCATTTTTCTTAAACGCTAGTAGTGGCTGGTTTGTATTTAAACTTAGAGTTTGACTGCGCTGTTAATTGCATTATCATTTAAATAATTCTTCCGTAGGATGTGAGCTATGAGGAGGCTATAAAATGTGCTGACCTACATCTGGAGACTGTCAGATCCAACTCTGAGCTCGCTCTATCTGCTAAGGAAGCATTAGCTGATTCTAGTCATTCTCATCCTTTATGTTTTAGAAATGCCTACATTGTACCCACAGTGTTTGATCTTGTGAAAATCTTCACAAGCATTTTGCCTTCTAAGCTGCTGGTGGGCATACAGGGTATTACTCCCATTTAATGCGGCCCTGTGTTGAAAAAAACTGAAATAAAGCTGACTCTGGAAAGGCTTTCATTGAAGTATTGATTAAATTGTGCTTCATTCTGTTGTGCTGAATTTAAAACTCAAAAATGTATTGATCTGCTTGAATATATATCTCAAGCTCAGAATACATCTGGTTCGCTGAAGAGTTTAGAATTGTCTCTGAATTACCTATATATAGCTGTGAATATCCTCTGGAGCATGGTACCTTTCTTTAACTACTAAATTTACAATGTTGTACTTGACAAAGAACATATTTTATGTTAATCAAGCAGTCCTGTGAAATAGCAGCTATTTTGGCTGTTGGGTGTTATTTTGGTCTACTTATCTTAAAATCTGTTGATTGTGAAATAAAATCAATTATTTAATAAGCTTTACTGATTTCTGTACTTTTCAAGATCTATGACTATAGTTAACTATTTTTAATAGGTTCATGCTGGGTAGCTTCATGAAGTAAATAATGTTGCTTGTAATACTTTTGAGAAATGTGGCTAAATCTAAATCCAATGAAATAGAATCTTATCTTTGCACTAGTTAATTGGAGCAGTTGGTTAGCAATTATGGGTAATGGACTTTCAATGTGAAAGGAACAGAAATAATGGGATCCACAAGTCTTAGACATTTATTTTTATTTTAAAATTGCATCCGAATAGGACATGGAATCATTACTGCAATTAATTAATTTCTTACTGCAAGTAGGCAGAAATGTTTTTTATACGATATACATCTAATAATCCTCCAAGACTTTAGAGAACAACGGATTACATACAACTGCAAATAGTTTTTAGTATTTAGTGAGTAGCTCACAAATGTTGATGCCATAATAATCATAACTCAGTGGCTTTCTAGATGTAAACCTGGAAAGGCATGAGGAATTTGGTAGTATCTTTTCTGCCTAAAAATTTTTATTAAAAAGCAGGGTTTTTTGTGAGCTGCAGTTTATTCCATCCAATACCTTTTTAAAAAATTGGTAAGTTGGGAAATGGGCTGCCAGGTTTCTTCTGATATTTATTTTTCTCCATAGACTAACATAGTGCTCCTCTTACTCAATGTTTGAAAACAATGGATTGTCACACAACAGCATATTTTTCAGCAAGCTTCTGCATGTTTTTTCTCCTAGATCTGATACCAAAAGAAAACTTAGAGAATTGGTTAAATTATTTAAATAAAGATCTTCCAACTATTGCTTTTAAATCTGCAATGCAGATAAAAGACAGAACTGTGGTAAGAACATATTTTTCCTGTCTTCTGTAATACTACCCAATCTGTTTTTATAATATTATTTGCAAACTATTGAAAAAAGACTAAAGATAATATGAAATGTTTAAATGATTAAATTAGTATTCCTAAAGATGCAGTGTTCATACATTCTGTAGAAGCAAGCATGCATAGATTGTATTGTCACTATCATATATTTTTCTAGAACAGGGGTGTCAAACTCAAGGCCCCGGGGGCTGGATCCTGCCCACGGGGTGCTTAGATCTGGCCCACGGGGCTGTCCTGGAAACAGCGGTGCCTCTGCCAGCAAAAATGAAGCTCGAGGCTGTGTGCGGCCCTCCCGAGCCCCATTTTTGCTGGTGGAGGGTTGCAGCTGAAAATGGAGCTCAGGAACCCATTTTTGCTGGCGGAGTGCTTGGGTCGCCAAAGGCGCCCCTCCAACACGAGTGATGTCATGCTGGCCACACACCTCGCCCCTGAGGTCAAACACAACACTGAGGCGGCCCTCGAATCTAGTTTGTTCTAGAAAATCCTTAAACAGGCCATTTACACAATCCAACCCACTTTTCACATAGGAAACTAAATCAAAGTATTTCCATCCAAAAGAGGAGTCATTGGAAAATTGATTATACTATGATACTACAACTATTGATGGAAAAAAAATATTTTCATTTGAAATAAGCAAAGATGCTAATATTACCAGACAGTTGTGTTTCCTCAGTTGTGTTGATTGTTTCTTAATAACTAAAATTATTTGACTAGAAAACTCTGTTGGAATCATCTAGTGCAATGGTGGCTAACTTTTCGGCACCGAGTGCCAAAACCAGGAGCATGGGCCGGAAACTGGAAGAGCAGCTCCCCCACATGTCCACATGGGAGCATCAGAAACCAGAAGCTAGCTTCCCGACACATGCATGTGTGTGGGCCAGCTGGTCTTCCTGTTTCTAACAGGAATGTGCGTGTGAAGACCAGCTGGCCAGCGCATGCATACACTCCAGGGAGCTGTTCTTCTGGTTTCTAGTGCTCCCATGCACACAAAGACCAGCTGGCGCACCAAAACCTGGTAGAGCAACAGGTGACGGCTGCCGTGCCTGGAGAAATGGCTCTGCGTGCCACTTCCAGCACGTGTGACATAGGTTTGCCATCACAGATCTAGTGCTAAAAAGCATTCGTGTTTTTCCTCCACAAATAAATGATGAGGGCAGTGAAAGATTCAGAAATCTAAAACAGTATATGGAAAAAATAAACCTAGAAGCTTGAACATACTTGGGGACAAAAGAGATTGGGTATCATGTAAAATAGTTATGGGGTCTTTATAACTGTATTTAAAAATGCATTATCCAGGGTTTTGTGTCTTTCCATTTTATTCATAATAACTGAATAAATGTCTACAGTTTCAGCAATATTCTATGATTCTTAACTTCCTATTTTATTCTACAATTGAAGTAATTATTGCAAATACCACTACAGATGGAATGTTGTTCTACTTTTAGTTTAGATAAAAATTCATAAATTTATCTCTTTTACTGATTTCATGGATTTATCATAATTGCTTTGTTCAGATAAAAATCCATAAATTAATTTCCCTTTTTTAGAGATTTCATGGATTTATTATAAATGATTGACTTAAATTCTTCTTTTAGTAAAAAAAAACCCAACAACTGCTTTTAACTTATCAGGCTCTTTGTCATATGGCTGAATCTGGTAAAAATATATTTATTTGTGAAATAGATATATTTTTCTCTGTGATCTTATTTTAAATTTACAGCAAGAGAAAAGAAATACGAAGAAGAATAGTGCATATCTAGAAGTATCAAGAGCAAACAAATGCTTTGGAAGTCAATGTCTCCTGAAACTTCTCCAGGAATATTGTATGACTAAAGATAAAGTTATACAGGTTGGGGTGATAGGTAAGTTTGCCTTGCCCGTATGGAGTTCTGTGAATTATAGTACAGACAGTACATATAGTAAGGACTGCTATGGAAATTCATGCTTGAAAAAATACATAAAGTATTGTAATTGGTCATATTATACATTTTTATGATGAGGATGCCTGCTTATTTATAATACTAGAGTGAGAAATGAGGATATATGCTTTTGTCTTAGTCTCATGGTGAAGACTTCAGATCCAACTCTGATCTTGCTCTATAGGCAATTTAAAAAGTGAAAACTTAATTGGCCCCAGTTACTCTAACTGATACTTTCAAAGAATACAATGTCCAAAATCAGAAGGCGGAAATGTACTGCATTTTATTCTTCCACTCAGACCTTATTATATTTCAAACCTAAATGTAATAGCCAAATGAGAGGAAGAAGAAATTGAAATAAGAATCTACACCTTTTCTTAATTTTTTATGGAATATCTGATTATTTAAAGCAGAGGTCTCCAAACTTGGCAACTTTTAAGACTTGTGGAC